ACCTCCATGACTTAGTTTTTTTGTAACTGGAAGTTTGTACCTCATGATCCCCTTTATTTATTTTACCCCCATCCACCTTTCCTCTGACAACCACCAGTTCTCTGTATTTAAGAGTCTGTTTTCTTGTTTGTTTATTCACTTGCTTTGTTTTTTTTTTTTTTAGATTCCACATCAGTGAAATAATAATGGTATTTGTCTTTCCCTGTCTGACTTATTTCACTTAGCATAATATTTTTAGGTGTATTCATGTTGTCCCAAATGGCAAGATCCCATTCTTTTTTATGGCTGAATAATACTCCTTTTATATAGATAGAATACTCCTTTTATAGATAGATATATAGATCAACAGACAGACAGACCACTTCTTTATTCATCTGTGGATGGCCTTGGGGTGCTTCTGTATCTTGGCTTTTGTGAATAATGCTGCAGTAAACACAGGGATCTATATATATCTCTTTTCAAATTAGTGTTTTCATTTTCTTTGGGTAAATACGGTGATGGAATTCTTGGATCATGTAGTATTTCTCATTTTAATTTTTGGCCTGTTTTTCCTTGAATTCCCCTAGTAGTAATTTCCCATTCAAATTTATATTGTGTCTTCATCATCTATTAGTAATCTTATCCCCGAGACACATTTCCTAGGATTAAGATTTCAAGTTTTTATAATTGTCATTGTTTTTTAAAATGCTACAGAAAATCCATGAATGAGCTTGTTTTGTGGCCTTCACAAGAAATGTGCTTAGCCATGATCCTCCGTGTTTTACTCCCAAGAGAGAAAAGCATAACAGGGAGGTGGGTAGGCAAGGATGTCAGACACAATTGGTGATGTGGAAGAATTTTAAAATATTCTATTTAAATTAGCCCTAGGGTCAGAGCACACATCCTCATTGAGAGGTGGAGTACACATCCATCCCATACTCAGAGAGCTGTAATAGTAGCCATGGCCTTTCTGTGTAGATGTCTAATAAATGGAGCACATCTTTTTTGGATGGATAATCAATTTTGAAATCCCTTGTTGTAGGTAAGCCGTTAAAACAGAAATGTTAACTTCATGAGTTTAATGAGTACCTTCCATGATAGCTTAGTGACAGAGATGGAAAGAAAGTCAGGTGGGGAGCAGTGAGGAAGAGTAGAATGAGAGTTTAATGAATATCCACTTGCACACTTGAATGTCAGCAGCAATGTTCTACCTCCTGGAAAATGTCTTTCAACAGTGCATCCCATTACTATTCCTGCAGCCCATGTAGCTTGGAGATGGAGGCAGAGTGTGTTTGTAAGAAAGCTCTCCTTTGCAACATAATGAGATCGAGGCGGGTAATTTGCAGATTGCGGGAGCAGTGTGGTCAAACCTGGAAAAAAAAAAAAAAAAAACAGCCAAATGAAAAGACCATGTGAAATAGGAGATGGCTGATAATGAGCCCGGAAATCACATATCAGATAGCCAGTGGGCTGGCATTTCCTCACATCCTTGTCCTCTCATTGCTAAACACTTTCTCTTACTCTGTTTGCTCAGTCTCTCTACACCTAACATTTCTGCCTTGTGTCTTGAAAATATGAATGAATTGGCATCTCTGCCATTTGAAACAAGTAAGAATGAAGGCTTTTTCATTATTCAACAGATGTATTTGCCTAAACATGGGTGTATGGTATTATTTCGAATGCTTTTGAATCCAAGGACGTTTTGTTTTGTTGCATTCTTTTTTAAAACATCTCATTAGTTTTTCAAGCCTCATTTTCACTCCTTGCCTTTTCTAGATTCTATGACAATTTTTGCTATATAGTTTGGAGAGAGTTTGCCTTCCCCCTCCAACAAAACAAAAAAGAAAGACCCCTTCTCATTAGATATGGATTGGGGCAACACAGAAAGTTGAAATCAGCTTGATTCTATCAAGTGTTCAGTGGTCAGGGCATCACAACCTCTTTGCTTTCCTAGGCCTTTTACCTTGGTGTCTGTCTCTTTCCTATATGAGAAATCAGTGCCAATCCCTAAATGCACATCTGTAAATTAATAGCCAACATAATGCATTTCAATCATAGGAAGGCTGTTTCTAGACATCTATTTCATTTTTGTAGCATAGTCTGTTTTTGCCCATGGTTCCAGGTGTTCATGGAATTTCTGACTTGGGAAAAAGGTTAATGCTCTCAAATACTTGCATCTGTATTGAGATACAAACTTGGATTAGGCATATGATCGAGACTCTTGTGGACCTTCTGGATAGCAAGGCCTAAGGGATGTGATGTGTGTCATGAGCTGGCAGTGAAACCCTGACTCCTGCCTGGTCTCAGAACTTCTGTTATCTTTATCTGACGCTGAAGGTCTTATTGTTGACCAGGAATAGTGTCCCACTGAATACAAGGCCATAGCAAGATTCTTGAAGTTGTAGTAATGGACAAGAAGATACCTCTTTCAGAGATGTTATTTCTTTCAAAATCTCCAGTGATTGAAGGGGGCTGGCAATTGGCCGAGAAAAATGTGGTGGAGAAGGGAGTAGGCAGGGAAGAAATGTCAATGCTATGGGTGTTTGGCAAAGGTAAAGATTAGAAGGATTTTTTTACAGAATTTTTTGCCAGGTCCCAAAAACACAGCTTAATGCCCCCAACTTTTTTCTGTATAGAAAAAGAGGTGAGTACAGTGGGTTGACAAATGTGAGTATCCTCTGACCATAAGGTTCTGTATGCTTTCTAGCAAATACTGAAACTCTAATGGGCTTTTAATGCACGGGAGGATACAGTGTCTATGTTCTTTCATATGTCTGTCTGTATTTGTGTGTGGGGGGGGGTGGTATAAGGCAGGGTGCTTAAATGCTTTGTTGCATTATGTTAATTCCTCGGCAGTGCAATCAAATTCATGTCGTAATTAAAGCTGTCAGTTGGAAGGCAAGCCAATCGCCACGAAAACACAGCATAACAAATGAAGTGAAATGATTCTGCGTGTAGCTATACAATGCTTCGCCAGGCATGAAATTAAATAAGTAATTTGATGTTGACATCAGAAATTGAAATGATACCCACTGTTCCCTCATTCAGTCAGACCTGCATAAACAATAGCCAGAACAAATATGCACAACAAAGCCCTCTTCTCCACCCAGCTCCCTGAGTAATGTACAATATATATGCAAAATGAGTATAACAGAGCTTTCCGAGACCTGAAGGATGTAATTTTCTTTGGTATACAATAAGATGATATGTATGTGGGGGTGGGAGGTGGGTTTGGAGGGGTACTTCTGCTTCGGGGTTAAAATGCATTTGCAGGAAGGGGAAAAAACCTGAAATAAACAAATCCCATGCTCTTTCTGAGTAATTCATCCTAAAATGAGTTTACTTCCCAGGGGCATGACTCCAGGGTGGTGGAGACCTAAGTTGGCTTTTGCCTTCCTCTGTTCCATGGAAGGCTGTGGGTGCTGTACACAGGTGATGCGGTCACATGGCTAATCACTGCTAGGAGAAGCTGTCTCCATGGCTACAGTGGATCTCCCTATGTACCATTTATGGGATCAGGGATGCAGCAAGATTTTTTTAAACCAAGTCTGGTGTGCAAGATCACACATCTATTGTCCTTTATTCCCCCTGAGTCTGTCTGAAACATCAAGGTGAAGAAAGTTTTGCTTTGGGAAGTGCATTTAGGAATGCCCTGGAGCGTACTGTTCTTTTTTGTTGTGGATGCTGTTGATATTTACCAGCACTGTATTTCCTTCTCAGAAACAGTTTAAAATCAGGAAGATTCCCATCTACTGTATTTTCAGAGGTGTGTTAAATTCACCTAAGCCTTCTTTCCCCCCATACAATCCACTTATTTATTTATACATTAATTCAACGAATACTAAGTGCATCCTGTGTGCTAAGCACTGGGGAAGCAGTGATGAGTTAACCAGATGGTCCCTGCTACCTGTAGTTTGCAGAGCAGGGACAGAACATGTAGGTGGAATAATAGCTAGGGATGAACTGAGTGAGTACTGCTTGTAGGTGGAAGTCAGCCCGCCCCAGGAAGGGGGTAGCCCCTGATCCAAGCTAGTCAGGGAGAAGGCCCTGCCAGCGCAAGGACACTTAGCCAAGACCAGGAGACTGTCTTAGCATTGCATTCCTTTTGTCTCAAGCTTATTTATACTTAGGGCCTTTCTTGTTCACAAAAAGGATACTAGAAATTAAAGAGTTTGTAATGGGAGGTTTTAAGCAAAAAAAAAACCAAAAAAACAAAAAAAACAGAAGTACAAACAAGCATGAATCACAGACAAGTCTAAAACAAAACCCAAGTTCTCTTTGGCCTCTTTGCCCAAAGAAATGGTGCCCTGCAAGCCTTTCAGAATTAATATTATTTGTTTTAGTCTTCTGTCAGAACTATGGAAGCCTAAATTGATAATTCTTGTGACTAAAACCTTCAGAAAAATGTTGCTTTTCATGGCTTCCCTTTACCCACACATTCTTTGCATTTTATTCTACTAATTATGTTTACAAAATGTCTCATTTTTGAAAAGCGCTCTGTGTGTACTAACTGATGCCTTTAGGGAATAAACTGGCAAGTAGGTCATACACTGGAAAAGTCATCCAAACCCACTGGGCTTTTATTTTCAAGTCAGTCTGGGCTTTTTCCTCTTGCCTGCCCCTTTGCGGCCACAAAACTGAGTAGCTTGAGACCAGGGCATTGAATGTCAGCAAGTCAGGGAGGCAGGCTGATGCGTGTCTGTTTAGTCTCAGTGCAGGGCGAAATGCCATCATTAATTCATTACCCAGCTGCCTGTCAAATAAATTGGCAATTACGTCCACCGCAGAAGCTTGGAATTCAGTAAATAGCACGTTAGCATCTCTGAGTTGTTGAGAGATGTAAAGGGGAAAATTAAGCCAACACGGTGTTTGTATCAGTTAGCAGATGACAAGGGGCAGCATACACTAGTGATGTGATGTAGCGATGAAAAACCCGCAAAGGGCTGGTAATGAGCTGTGTGGATTGGAACGTGTTAAAAACCATTGCTGATTTTCCACTTTGTCTTTATGCTTTATTGCAGAGTTCAGCTCCTTCCAGCTTGGGAACAGGCTACTTCGTAAGTTTATCTCAACTTGCACATGTGTGCCTTGCGTTGGCATTGATTTACTTCTATAATGTTCGCTCATTAGGATGTGAAAAAAAAAAAAACCTAAGAAGTCCCCTCTCAGTCCTAAAGAGCAGACTGATAGCCATCCTTTTAGTAGGATTATTTTATTTTTAAAAGACATAACCTGTCGGGCCTCATAGATCATGAGTCAGTCTGAGATGTGGGTCTCGTAGCCAGCACATTTCCTTCTCACCTGGCAGTGTAAAGGAGACCTGATGGGCTCATGCCACCTTTCCTACATAAATGGTTTTTTTTTTTTTTTAGTGACAAGCGCCATGTCATGTGGAGGATGGAATTCAGATTATGCACTGAGGTTTTTATTCACTTTTAAGATCTCTCTTTTTCTTTAAAAGATTTTTATGTTTCAGTAGTCTCCACACCCTACAGGGGGCTCCAGTCTACAACCCTGAGATCAAGAGTTGGATGTTCCCCCAACTCGGCCAGCCAGGTGCCCCCACTTGTAAGATCTCTTAAAGAACTTTCCCACATATGTAGGGAATTGCCTTCTTTAAAAAATTATTTTGGTGAGAGGTGGTGGTTTAATGGATGTTTTCCCTTACAGTCTGAGTACGTGGCCTTTAGATTTCCTTTCAGCAATCATGGAACTCCTCATTTTAGCAAATATAAGTGTATTATGTTATTTCTAGACATTTCTTTGTCCTTTGGGAGGGGTGGGATGGTGTCCTACCTCAGGGATTATCTCATAGATAATTCTCTCATAGAGAAATTGTCACTTCATTTCTTTTATTTATAGCAAAATTACCCTTTTTGGATTCAGTAATCTTTTTCAAGATATAAGTAAACAAGAGTTACAAATAGGCATTATTTACACAACAGGAAAACATGCCAGTGTGGAGGGTCTTTTTTTTTTTTTTTTTTTGGTGGTATTTAAAGGAATCATTTCTGAATGATGAGCATTGTTACTCTGCCTGCTCAGCATTTTCTGAGAAAATAATGAAATAATGAAAATAAAACAAAGTGGAAAATAATTACTGATTCAGTTTAGTTGCCTTTAAATTCCTTTCCCCTAAAATGCTAATTATGCTGGTTTTCTTCTGCCCACACATTTCTCTTGATAACATTAAATATATGAAAACCAGCATCATTTCATTGAATGATAAGTCTTTTCCAAGCTTGGCAGAAGTAGCATTTTCTAAATGTTGATTTTTTTATCTTAATCTATGATAATGAGAAAAAGGAGAAGGACAAAGATTTTTTGGTACCTGTTTAATACAGTCAGCACGCTTTTGCTTGCTCCGTATTGTGACTGAATATTCATGCTTCCAGAAACAAGCAGGATGCTGAAGCAGTCGAAATAACAGAAGTAGCCCATCTGCCATGCCTTCACACCAGGCTGGATGTGGGTTGAGATGCTGGAAGTAAAATCTGGAGACTGCCAGTGTCTCTTCTCTGTCCAAAAGCTAAATTATCCCTCTTGGCTTTCTTCGGTAGAGCAAGGCCAAAACCACTAACTTAGCCCTTGATCACTTTGAGACTGAACGTTCCTGGTATTTTTTTCTGTTGTCAGTATGATCACCCTGAAAGAAGAAAGTCATCTCTAGAAACATCAAGAAGTTTATTACGCTTTTTGTCACTTATTTTTCTCATTTCAGGAGTGTTTATTTTTTATTCCTTAATAATACACACTTATGAGAAGAGTCTGCAGTTATGAATCTAAAATGATTTTTACATTCACGCTCTGTTGGATGAGTATAAAAGTTTGTCTTTTGGTGAAATTGCTCTTAGTATTGCTTTGCTTACATAAAAAAATCTGTAGTATTATTAGCTTACATGGAAAAGATACGTCCCAGATGCATGTTCAGCTCTCAACTATGACAAAAATGCTCTACTTAGAATGTGTTTCCAATAATGGGATTATTGTGTTATCAAAGTGCAAAATTCATTGATACTACTGCCAAGTTCTCATCAAAAAGTGTCTTCTGTTTCAACTTTCATTCCAACGATAGCAAATATAATACTTGATTTCAGGTGCCAACATCAGCATTGGTGAGTTTTATGCTTCTAGGTGGAAATAGTATATGCACAACTTATAGTAGTTTTGCGTTAACATGTTCTTTGCACTGTGCTTTATGATCTGTGATTTCATATTAGCCTTTACTTATGTCTGTAATGAAGGCTCAGCATCAGGTAAGTGAGATGTCGACTCTATCCTTCATTCTTTTCAGCATCTCTTTCAAGTGTGGACGGAGGCAAATCACCTGCAGAGTCACAGAGCTATTAATGCTATTGAACCATAATGTGAACTCTGGTATAAGAAAACTGAAGGCACTCACCTATTGGGTTTAACAACCTGGAACTCTTTTTTTAAATACTCTCCCATGCCCCAGCATTAGTCTAACTTCTGGATTTTCTTTCATTTAGATTTTATGCTCTCCTAGAGCTTTTAGTGAACTAAGGTAAAATGCTGATCATTGTGTGTGCTAATCAAATGAATCCCCACTGGAGTACACACACACACACACACACACACACACACACAGGCATATGCATGTGCCAGCCCACACCCCGTGTCCATAGCCAGTATATTCTGCCTTCCTTCAGTTCTTTTCATTTATCAGTAGTGATAAGTTAAAACATTTAAAGAAGAACCCTTTGTTTTCTTTTTAGTCATATTTGTTTATATCTCTTTGGTTTTGTGTTCCAAAGATGTCTGCTTAGGTCTGTTACTTTTCCAATTCATTTATAAGCTGAAGATTTGAGAAATGAGAACAGCAGCTAAAATCAGTATTTACATAAGCATATTGCAAAGGATTCTTAAAGTAGACAAAATAAAGAAGGATTGGAACAAACTTTTCACATTTTTGGGAGCTTTTGAATAATGTGGGTGTTATACACACAGAGAGACACGCATATATATTCATTGCATACTCAAGCCCAGCTCATGTTCTAAATATAAATGGAAGTATAGACTGGTTGGAATCTATTTGCTTTTTTTTTGATTTTTTTTATTTTTGGCAAGAGTACCAAAACTTGTTGGAGTGTGTAGGGTTTTTCTTTCTTTCTTTCTTTTTTTTTTTTAAACCTTAATGCAGTGAACACGTTTTCATTTTAATTTAAATGTTTTGGGCTATATTCTCTTCTTATACTTGTATTTGAAGTGTTATTGTGCATAGTGGATAATTAAGAACTTAGAGACAGAATGATCTGAAGACTACTTGTGTGACCTTGGGCAGGTTATTTGATGTTTGAGAGTCTGCACCCACCTAATAGAGTTGTGAATTCTAAATGAGACAAGGTGTTTCATGCACACAGAACAGCTCTCATTAATAGCCAGCTATTCCCATTATAGTGTGTGATGGACAAAACTTGCTGTCATTAAGTGGCTGTGTGATGTTGTGGTTGGTAGAGGATTGCCACGAGAAATTAGTGATGCAAGAAGGAAATTTTGGAATTTGTAGCTGTAGGTCAGGAATACTTGATTCTTGCTATATTCTTGTCCCTTTCTGAGGAGCCTGTAACTGTGTGTTTGGTCAGCCGTATACCACTTTACTACACGTGTGAACAAAAAACAAATATGGAGTTCATTGTCTATGATCCTCTATGATCACCATGATGTTGGAATGAACCATTCTAGGCTGTCCATGTATTATGGTTGTTTAATTTGTCTCTTAAAGCCATTTGTTTATTTTCTTCCTCAGACCTGAGTCATTTAAAGACTGCAAACAGCTCTTGAATTTGGGCTGGAGGGTAGGAAAGATCTGTGCAATACGTTCAGGTGTTACGAGGTTGTGTCATGTATTTGCTGCTCTCTGACACCAAAAAGGAAAGTAGATACCCTAGTGTACCTGAGTGAAGTAAGCGAAGTCAGTAGAGTGACAAGACCAGTAAAAACATCTCCTGGTTGCCAGTGGTCTGATGTGTCATCACAGGAAGGTTCTGGACTCGTTCTTTACAAGCCCTGGACTCCATCTGCCAGTAGTTGGTAGCTACTGTTGGTGTAGGAGTTGACTGACTTGTCAGGCTGAACCTGACCCCTGGTGTAAAGGAAGCTTTCCTTTGTTCTGGTCATGTGTCTTGCCTGCTTCTCTGGACAACTTTCAGCCTTCTTCCAGGTGTGAATCTAAGTGTCTTAGGCCCATAGTCTCAAATAGCTTGGATCCCGCTTTTGTAAACTCCAGTCATCCAGAGATATTTTCATAATTGTTCCCAAATAGTAACTTTAATTCTCCTCAGTTGCCTCACATCTATCAATATACATACTTTAAGATTATCAAGGAAACCAAAACACTACTACCTAATGATTAAAACTACCACTTTATGTGATAAAGGGGAATTGTGTGGTGGTACATGTCTTAACATGGGATGTGTGCATTCCTGTGCAGTCTTACTACTTAAGAAATTGTGTTTGTAGTGTTGGTAACAGGCAATGGGTGCAAAATATTCACCTGTGGCTTTCCATCAGCGCTATAAGGTCATAAAAGGATTAAATTCTTTGCCATCTTCTAAGTTTTTGACTGCAGACCCTGAAATATCTCCTGTTTTTCTTCGAATAATGTGGGTGTTTTTTTGTTTTGTTTGTTTGTTTTTCAAGACTGGGCTTTTCTTTTAACAGACACTTCTGACTTTTTGTCTTTCACTAAGTACTAAGCACCTTCTCCATCAGGCACTGTTCTAGGTGATAGGTTACAGATGTGAAAAATCAGTGGGCCCTCTCAAGGAATTTAGTCTTCCCTAAACCACCCAGTTCCTTTCCTTCCTCTGTGATGCTTTTAATATTTTTGATACTTCGCATTTAAAGAAGTGGATTTAGGGGCGCCTGGGTGGTCCAATCAGTTGAGTGTCTGACTTCAGCTCAGGTCATGATCTCGCAGTCCATGGGTTTGAGCCCATGTCGGGCTCTGTGCTGACAGCTCAGAGCCTGGAGCCTGCTTCCGATTCTGTGTCTCCCTGTCCCTCTGCCCCACCCCTGCTCACGCTGTGTCTCTCTT